CACATTGAGGAATAGAGAAACAAAGAGTTTATGTAACAACCAGTGTATGTCTTCACAAAACTTAAAGACAGAACTAAAAGAAAGAACAACAGGGTACGTCTTCATAGAATAAAGAGATAGCAAAGAAAATTAACCAACGACCAACATGTCTTGAGATACAAATAAAACAGAAAAAAACAGCAGTGCATGTCTTCAAAGATTAAAAAGACAGGACAGCAATACATGAGCTCCCAAAACTAAAAGATAGAATAGCAAAGTGTAACCCTTCCACCCTCTTCCCCAACCACCAAGAAAACACCTTCATACACGCCGCACACACACGCACACATACACACAACAAAATGTATTGTGTATAAGGCATAAAAGGTGAAATTACAAATACATGTCACAAGATTTGAATTTGCTCAGATTTGGGGTGGGCAGGTGAAAAATGTATAATTTGTTCAAACAATATATTACCTTCTATCAAAATATAGAAACGTATGGCAACATACAGTTTATGAACCTGTATGATACCTTTGCAACAAAAATATGTCAGCAATAATCATTATCATAGTTTCTATTTTATTGTATACAAAAATATATTACAAGATTGCATTCCGCAATAAGTGTGCATATAAACACTCAAAACATCCTGTACACATGAAATCTGACTTGATATACATGTATTAGATTGTCTATTTGTTTACATCTTTTAAAAAAGTACATAAAAGATCATGTACATCTTATTTACACACAGAGTCTAGTGCTGAGATACCACTGGAAATGACATCATGAAGAGACGGACACAAAAGAGAGTGTACATCCATGGTGAAGGACAGAGCATGGCGAGATCCATCACTACAACCTTTGCTGTGGAGATGGCACCTGACTGACCGAGATAATGCCAAGTCATTACTGTTTGTGCGTGTTTATGCTCATTTAAAGTAAGATATAAATAATAGAAGGAAGAGATATGATTACACAAGGCCCCGAAGCTAGCCATACCTCCCAAGATAAAAGGCACTGCAAAACAAGACCGTTAGGAAATATTTTTACTTCAGAGCAGAAAACAAGGAATGAAACAGGATCGCCAGTTCTAAAACCTGAATGTTGTGTGCACATTTGTTTTACAGATCTGACTTGTATGTAGACTGTTGGTTCCTTGCCTCTCTGGCAGAAGCCCCCCGACTTTGAAGGAAACCCCCAATTAGTTGACTTCTACAACATGCTTGTTGGGGAGGCAGTGGGTCTATTCTTGTTTTCCCCCACAAAGGGGTCCTGGAACCCACAAGGGAAGACTTCAAACGATTATAAGTTACCTTTACATCCCTGGGGAGCACAGAAAATACTACAGAAAAATCATTAGTTATCTTTATACCCAATGGCAACGAGTGAAAAGACTACAGAAGACTACAAGTTATCTTTACATCCCAAGGTATTAAATGAAAGAGCCCAGAAGACTACAGGTTGCCCTTACACTCCAGGGCATCAAAGATGACAAAAGACCAGTAATTATCTATACATGCCAGGGAAAATGAGACTCAAAAATGTAAGACAAAATGAAAGACCACAATGTGATTACTTTACAGAAGTAAATACAAAGCTACACTTGATCAAGAGGGAGGAGCTTTGCACAAAAGGCAGACAATCCACACTAAACACTACTGTAAGGGGCCTCACCACTCTAGGGTAGACAGAGAACAAAGAACAAGAGCTCTAAAATACTTCTTCACAACAGAATAGTGATCAGAAAATTATGATCCTGAACAATCTGCATCCAGGACAGATGAGGAAAGATATAGAAAAGTGCTACAGCACCAACAGAATGAAAGACGGAAAAAGATTCTATGGTATCTATACATACCATTTCATTCTCGTGGCATTTTGACACTGCTATGAGAATCACACCGTAGAAGAAATTAGGGGTATAATATTCCCACAGACAGCAGTGCAGGACTGCAACCAGCCTTCACTGTGGATCTGGTTTTAACCCTTTTACCACTGGAAGCCACAACCCTGGCCCTTCCAGTAGGATTCAACTCCCAGAGATTGTCTTAAGGCATTTCTACAGTGATGTTTTTACGAAACACCTAGTCAACGCCAATGGTTGTGTTTGTGCCAGCGCAGCATTTAGGAAGTTATATTTATGGGTGAATTTTACGCTTGTCTCCCAATTAGCACATCACCGGTTGTAGGTCAACTCCAATGATAAGTTGGTTGGACTAGTCTACTCTGGTCGAGGTTATGGGTGTCGCAGTCTGTTGCTGTCTAGTATTTACGTTTTTATTTCCGAGAATGAGACGACCTGTGACAAAGGTTTTGTCACTCTCTGGGGGTGTTGTGTGTTAGACCCAGTATCTAAATCTTTTAGAAGTGTTAAAAGCTCTGACATGGTGAAATATACAACATGCGGTATGAGCGCAAGTGCGGAATATCCCCGTGACCTTGTGAGACAGTCGGATCGCTCAAGGCCGACCTATCAGAAGTAAGCTGGTCAGTAGGTTGTCCAATCAGAAGCGAGCTAGTGTGTAGCGGTGTGCTAATGGGGAGACGAGCGTAAAATTTAACTATTTATAAAAAATAGCATTTGGTGGTGGGGGAAAGGGTGTCTTGTGAAATCAATGCTATTTTAAAGTCAGGCTGACCTTATATTTTTCCCCACAGCCTCAGTGATGGAGGTCATGAGGTCACAGCATGAGTCAACCAATACATATTCTTTTAGGTCCATGGTGAATTATTCCACTGAATGCTTCTCTCTGCGTTTATTGATTACTCCCTTTGTATATCTTTATCTAATTCTTGAAAAAAAAAAAATGCAGATAAGTCAATGTTTTTAAAATTTATTAGTAACCTGTGTAAAATGGTTACTTATCTTTAGGTTTTTTTTTTTATTGTGGAGATTTCCCATTGGTTCATGGCCTATTTATTAGGGTTCCCGGGGTAAAGGGTTAAGCAGACTTTTGTAACTTACTACAGACACTGACATAAACAAACAAGTTTAACAATCAACAAATTGACACACTCTGGTGAAATCTGGTAGACTTTTGGTTAGCTGCCAGGTTGGAACTGAACACATGCTACTGTTTGCCTGGTCGATAGGATAATATCACATACACCGTGTTTCACCATCGACTTGTTCATACTCCTTGATAAATTATATGCGACCTGCCCCTGACCTGGTTAGACAGGCAGGGAGGCCTAAATATTCGGTGACGGGGACCTCTGTTGATGAGAAGCCCTTTGTTGCACAGTTCTTAATACAGGATATTATTGTTTATAATCATTCACTGAGATATTTACTTGTTAAAGCTAACAAAGAAATTACATACACAGCAATGGACATAAAAAAGTACTTAATCTGTATGTACATACAAATGTACCTCCACCCCGCCCCTTTCTTGCACAATTCTTAATACATGGTTTTACTGTTGATAATCACTCACTGAGATATGAACTTGTTAAAACTAACAAAGAAATTACATACATAACAATGGACATAAAAAAAGTACTTAATCTGTATGTACATACAAATGTTTTCACCAATAATGCACAAAGCAATTACAGTCAAAACTGGCCATAGTGAAAGTAAGTTTTTCCAAATGTGCATAAAACCAATAAACATCCGCTCCGTTAGTCTCTCTGGACTTCAGATCACCTGTCATTATGTTTAAAAAAAAAATATGTATATCTTTATGCTTTTTCTTCATGTTATCCGTCTGTAACCTCTGGCAGAAAGTTCTGGTTGTTCAACCACAGACATGGCTGCTTGTTCTTTGCCTTTCAGGCACATGCACTTCGACTTTGGAGAAGCCTCCAATTAGCTGACTCTACAAGAAAAAGTAGCTTAAACCGTAATGTATTCATGGATTTATACATAATCAATCTGCTTCAATTGTCTTGTTTAGGTGTTTCACTATTCACAAATTTGCTTCAAAAATGGTGTTCCTGTGATAATAAATCCGCTTCATCAGCAGTGTTACGGTCTTTCACTAATGATAAATCTGGTTCATCAGTAAAGTTGTAGTTTCACTGATCATAATTCTGCCACAAGAGTGCTGTGGTTGCTTCACTAAACCTAAATCTGCTTCCATATTGTTGTGTTATGTTCCATATTGTGTTTCCCTAGGCAAAAATCTGCTTTGCTGGTGCTGTTGTGGTTGCTTCACCTATCTTAAATCTGCTTTGCTGGTAATGTTCCAAATGTTAACCAATCATAAATCCATTGCTTCTATTTCACCAACCATAAATCTGCTTCAAGAGTGTTGTGGTTGCTTCATTAAACTTAAATCTGCTTTCACAGTGCTGCTGATTGTTTACTTATCATAAATCTGAAGCAGTGATGTTGCCTAACAGATTATAAATCTGTTCATTCATATTCTTTTGGTCGTGTCACCAATAAAAAATCCACTTCCCTAGTATTGTTGTGGGAGGTTCATGGATAAATCGTCTGTCACCTAGAGCAGCGCCGCTACTGTCTGATCATTTCTAAAACCTAGGTTCCATTCTGACAGTAGGATTCTGATCATACAGATAATTCTGTATCTTTTGTAGACTAGAGGATCTTGTAGCAGGATCTTGACTCAGGCACACCACCTGGGGGAGGGTTGAGTTGGTCAAGTGTCGAAGTACACTTGTTCCTGCAGCAAGATGCGGTCTTCATTTGCAGCTGACATGTTCGGTTTCTAGTGTGTAAACTATACCTTTAGATTGTGCATGTAGTCTCATTCACCCTCCTATCTCTTCACTTCTTTCTGTGAGTGTTGATCATAAAAAGTCATTTTGTCGATTATACCTCCAGGACAGAACATCCCGGGCAACACCATCTGCACATCACAGATGCCTCCTGCAGTAGAGCAAATCACTGACAACTCCCACATGTAGGACGGGATATTATGGGGAAAAACACCCCCTGCAATACAGCACACCATGAATAAACAATACCTGCAGGACAGTACCCCTGCAGGACAGTACCCCTGCAGGACAGCACATCAGGAACAATCACGACTGACAGATAAATATCATGTCTTGCACTGAGACCACTTGGGTAAGATCCTGCGGCGGGCGTTGGTGAACCAGTAGTTGATCTGGTTGACCGACAGGCCTGTCTGTTTGATTAGTAAGGCTTTCTCATCATCGTTGGGGTATGGGTTGTCCTTGTGGCTGCGCAACCACTCCATCATCATGGCCACAGCCTGGAGGAAACAAACATGTACAAGTGATGTAAGAAATATCACATATGTATATATATATATCCCCCGTGTTGGTTCCGGGGCCCTATTATGGGGAAAACAAGAATAGATCCACTGCCTTCCCAAAAGCATGTCGTAAGAGTCGACTAACTGGTGAGCTTCCTTTGAAGTCGGAGTGCATCTGCCTGAGTGGCAAGGAACCAGCAGTCTGCGTTCAATTGAATCAGATCTGTAAAACTGATGCACATGCAACACTCAGGTTCTGGAGCAGGACTGCAGTCCAGAAGTATATATATATATATATCGCCGTAATCGTAAAAATTAAACAAAAATTTCAAATTTGGTCCTCTTTTAGCTGCCTGAAAGCCTGCTTGATTGAGGATGGTTCTTTGCTTTCTGATTTAAATTTGTTTCTTTGCGGCAATCATTTTCGCCTAAGTTTGATTTTTTGGGGTGCTACATCATGTCTGCACGGTCAGGCTTGGCGCGCGGTTTCCAGTTTTTTTTTGGGAGTGGATCTGGCAGCCCTAAAAAGGACTGCCATTTTTGCCTGGGGCGGCCTGGAACACACACACACACATACATACATATATATATATACACAAGGGAAAGTCAGTAAGTAACAAATTGTTATGGGATGGGAGAAAAATGTAGTTGCTGGTTTCTAGAGTCATTAGGTAACAGCAACATCGATCTTCACATCTCCGTTCGTTAGGTGGTGCTAGGAATTAATTAGAGGTGGCAGGCGAGTAACAGTTGCCTCTGTAGCAGCTGCAATAGGGTGCTTACGTGGTTCAGTATACAACATAATGTGTGATCGATTGAAATTTAAGAAATTGCGCTCATAAATACACCTTGACAATGAAAACGCCAGACCATATACGGCTCGGTTAACTCAGGAGAAAATTAACCATCTAGGTTGGGAAATTCTGGAACATCCACCTTACAGCCCCAACTTAGCCCCTAGCAAATTTCCACCTGTTTGATTCACTGCAAGCACACTTTGGCATCATACATTTTGCAAAAAAAGCAGAAGTTGAATGTGAAGTGAAAATGTGTTTTAGAAAACAGAGCACACAGTTCAATGTAGCAGGTTTGGGAGGACTGATAAAATAATGGGACAAGTGCATCATTTTTGGTGGAAATTATGTTGAAAAATGAAGGGACAGTGTATGTGTAAAAAAAAAATTTTCAAGTTGTTATCGCCCTCATTTAAAAAAAAAACCATTTGTGACTTACTGACTGACTTCCCCTCGTGTGTGTGTGTGTGTGTGTGTGTGTGTACATGCAGGTTCACTTTTTGAATATATTGCCTGTGTGAGTTACAGAGGTCCAGGGCCCTAATGTAGGGAGAAACGAACGAACAGACCAACTGTTCCCTAATAAGCACGCTGCAATAAGCGATTAATTAATTATTTCTTAAAATTGATATCTTGAACCAAAAGGTGCAGATATTGCAGTCTAGCTATAATCCCCACCACAACATACCAACCATCCTTTTGAGGTCAAAAAAAAGATGAAAATGAGACAAATAAAAAGCTTTTTTGTTTTGTTTCTTTGACTATTATAAAACAGTCAACACACAGACAGCAAGTCTACGGAGCAAATAATATAACAAATGGATCAAGGACAGCCAAATGAAATTATACAACAAAATCTTAATGAGGCATGCTGAAGTGTCAGACCAGATACATTGCAGAAAAACGTTCACAAGATGGAATGGAATAGAGCAACTGGCTGCAAGCCCTTTGTCATGGTTTTAGCAGCCCATTTTGGGCAACAAAGGGTTTTCTATGGGGTCACCAGGCAGTGGTGAGCTATGTAAATTTGTAAAAAGGAACACTAACAATCATGTCATTGCGTCCCTTAATGAAACAACTGCAAATGTGTAAGATCATTTACGAGTTAGAATTTCAATCGTCACTAGTTGTTAACATTATTTGGCATTATTTTATAGTGCAAAATTTATTTTTGTGGCTTTTTATTTATCCTTTTAAAGAATCTATTTTTATTGATGGTGTCGCCACTTGAAAAAGGCATGGAACCTCCGCTCTATGCTATGTACACCAGCACAACAGAACACTAATTTGTAAAAATGACAGTCAGAATAAACAAGCTGTGACAGAAGAGTAAGAAGTCTAACTGTGCCAAACAGAATCAGAACATCCAGGGAATACAAACCTCTTTAGGCAAGCTTGGGTGTTTCTTGGACTCTGCCTTGCTGGCCTGCGGACTTGCTAAGGATGGGTCACCAAACATGTCTGCCCGGTCTTTGATTGAGTGATACACATGTCCCACTCCAGGCTGGATGTAGCTGTTCTGAAGACATGCAAATAATGAAGATCAGTGACCACTTGACCAGTGAGAGCTTACTTATAATTGATCACTTGTGATTGTCCCAGATTAATGCTTGTTTCAAATGACTGCTACTAACTGATGACTGTAATTAGACTGATAGCTGATAAATAATAGTTGAAGTGACTGTTAACTTATGACTTATAGTCGTAGTGGTTGCTAACTGATGACTGATAGCTGAAGTGGTTGCTATCTGATGACTGATAGTTGAAGTGAGTGATAAGTAGTTGAAGTGATTGCTAACTGTGACTGATAGTTGTAGTGACTGATAACAGTAGTTGAAGTGATTGCTAACTGTGACTGATAGTTGTAGTGACTGATAACAAGTAGTTGAAGTCATTGCTAACTGATGACTAATAGTTGCATTAACTGCTATCTGAAGACTATAACTAAAGATTGACAGCAGATGACCATAAGTAAAGACTGATAACTGACAGCTGATTCCTAACTTATAACTGATCACTGATAACTAAAAACAGAAACTGGCTACTCATGGCTGCAACTTTAGATTTCTAATGACTGGTAACTGATCATTGATACCCAAATTTAATAACTGGTGGCAGTAACTAAAAATTGCTACTAATAAATAATGGTCAGCAATCAAGGGCTATAACTGAAGACTGATAACTAATAATTGTAACTGAAGTATTCTATACTGACAATTTAACAAACAATTATTCCTGATAACTTTAACTAAAACTGTTCCTGATGACTGTAACAAAAATCTTTTCCTGATAACAATTTTTTTTTAAATGTTTCTGACAACTGTAAACCAAAAAAACATGTTCCTGATAACGTTAACTAAAAACTGTTTCTAATAACTGTCTCTGAAAATTGTTCCTAATAACTGAAATTACATACTGTTCCTGATAACTGTGACTAAAAATTGTTCCTGATAACTATAACTAAAAACTGTTCCTGATAATTGTAATTTAAAATGCTTCCTGTAACAAATTTTTTTTTCTGATAACTGGAACTAAAAATGTTCTTGATAACTGGAACTAGAACTTGTTCCTGATAACTGGAACTAAAAATTGATGACTTCAAATAAATACTAATGCAAATCTATTATGACTAGCTGTTGTTGCTGGCAACTTTCCATCCTTCCCGACAACAGTTTTCCATTGCACTAAAAAGAGAGGCATGAGACCACAGCCCATTACAATACCAACTAAGCACATGATGATGATGCTCCTCTGCACATCAAAAAGTCTGGACAGTATTGTAGAGACCATGTGTTGATCAAGCAATATGATCCCACTCTCTGCTTGCTTTACTAACTCCAAAGAAAATGTAACAAAAACATATATGGACCCAAGCATGCTACAGAAGCTGTCAGATCAGAAGACGAGTAGATCTGTCGGGGCTTTGGCCTAGACCTGCTGCCAACCAAGGCTTAGAGTCTGGTCTGCCCTGCTATAACAATGAGTTTTCAGGTTGTATCTTCTCCTTGCAAATATAAGGCTAGTAACTCCCTCCCCCCCCCCCCCCCCCCACCCCCCCCCTCCCCACCCCCCAACAAAACCCTTCGGCAAAGTTAGATGTCAGGCAATTAGGGAGAGCACTGTTAACAAAATCAAGAGCAAACCAAAACCAATACATCCTGTATTAACCACTTCTGCAGTGCAGGCAGGATCTTTAAGACTTAGGAATTAAGGATGCAGGGATAGTCCAGCTGCCACAGACTGTGCAAATAAGAATTTACTTCTTTTCCTGACAGAAAAAAACCCCACAACCCATGTCTCCTGCATGAGATCCCAGCATTCTTAGCTGTTCCGCTAGCCGTTCCTTTGATGGGAAGTCATCATCAAGTGCTTAGCAGACTGGCGTAGCCGATCATACCTTTTCACAACCAGTGATCAGCAACAGCGTGTTTCAGTTCATGTGGACTCCTCTCCATGCCTTGTCAAAAGTCTGTCAAGAATCATCTCGCATTGTCTTTCTCTGTCTCTTTTTCTCAGATCTTCTCAGTGTGAAAACATATTCCAGTTTTCCTCTTCTCATAACATGACCAAAAAATTATGTCTCTTTCTGTTGTTTGTGACAAGTTCTGATATGGGTGGTATCTGATATAAGTGGCATCTGATATGGGTGGTATCTGATATGGGTGGTATCTGATATGGGTGGTATCTGATATGGGTGATATCTGATATAAGTGGTATCTGATATAAGTGGTATCTGATATAAGTGGTATCTGATATAAGTGGTATCTGATATGGGTGGTATCTGATATGGGTGGTATCTGATATAAGTGGTATCTGATATGGGTGGTATCTGATATGGGTAGTATCTGATATAAGTGGTATCTGATATAAGTGGTATCTGATATAAGTGGTATCTGATATAAGTGGTATCTGATATGGGTGGTATCTGATATAAGTGGTATCTGATATGGGTGGTATCCGATATGGGTGGTATCTGATACAAGTGGTATCTGATATGGGTGGTATCTGATATAAGTGGTATCTGATATAAGTGATATCTGATATGGGTGGTATCTGATATAAGTGGTATCTGATATGGGTGGTATCTGATATGGGTGGTATCTGATATGGGTGGTATCTGATATAAGTGGTATCTGATATGGGTGGTATCCGATATGGGTGGTATCTGATACAAGTGGTATCTGATATGGGTGGTATCTGATATAAGTGGTATCTGATATAAGTGGTATCTGATATAAGTGGTTTCTGATATGGGTGGTATCTGATATAAGTGGTATCTGATATAAGTGGTATCTGATATGGATGGTATCTGATATAAGTGGTATCTGATACAAGTGGTATCTGATATAAGTGGTATCTGATATGGGTGGTATCTGATATAAGTGGTATCTGATACAAGTGGTATCTGATATGGGTGGTATCTGATATAAGTGGTATCTGATATAAGTGGTATCTGATATAAGTGGTATCTGATATAAGTGGTATCTGATATGGGTGGTATCTGATATAAGTGGTATCTGATATGGGTGGTGTCTGATATGGGTGGTATCTAACATGGGTAGTATCTCATATGGGTGGTATCTGATATAAGCAGTATGTGATATGGGTAGTATCTGATACTAAATTATGGTTTGTCACTAGAGATTTCTATTAATAATGACTGCACTCAAGATTGCTTCTAACCAATGATTATGACAATCAATAATTGCAAGTAAGGTTAGAAGATGCCAACCAATGACTGTTACAACTCAATGACTGTTACAACTCAATGACTGTCACTAAGCAATGATTGTCACTAAGCAATGATTGTCACTAAGCAATGATTGTTACAAGAAAAAGCCTGACTCACTTCATGGTATGCACCCATGGGATGGTGGTTCAGTGCCATAGAGCCCATGCCGTTTGGTGGTAAAGGTCCGCCCTGCTGAAAAAATATGACAACTAGTTAATATTGTTTCAATGATACGTGTAGAAGTCAGCAGTGATTGCTAGGAAAAGGTTGAAAGTCTGGAGGATCAACTTCACTGCACCATGTTTTTAATCCCATATGGCTAGCTGCCTGCCGAGAGCATCACACACAGCGCGAGCTCCGTAGCTCCAGTGACGATCCCCAGGGATCTCTCACAAGAATTGCACCAGCGAATTTAAAGGTGCAGCCATGAAACTAGTCCACAACCCTCACAGCCGAGGCGTGACCACACAGGAAACCTCCCCCCCCCCCCCCCCCCCCCCCCATTGCTAACAAGAAGGTAGGTACGCATATAAACTGATAAACTGTTTGAGTGGAGCATCGACGCGTGCCACAATGATCAATGGAGATGCATAATGCTAGTCAGCGTGTGGAAACCTCTAGTCTTCTTCTTCTTCCGTTCGCCTGAAATAAGTTGTCTATATCAGCAATTTTGTCTCTTGTATAAATTTCACTGTCGTTGTTATTTCATTCAGTGGTCCATAGAGTTTACGCTCCACTGTTGTTCTTTCTGGCCAAAAGGTTTGCCTTAATGTGTCAAAATCGGTGCAGTCCTGGAGTACATGCTCTCTGCTGTCTGGGGCACATTTCCACAGGTGAACATGGCTGATACACCTATCTTGAATTTTGTGTACATGTGGTTACGTAATCGGTTGTGCCCTGTTCTGAGGCGGAGGATAATGACTTGTTCTGGTCTGTCCATAATAAAATAGTCGTCTTGTGCTGGGGCTGGTGGTTTCCTGATTGATTTAATGATTCTTTTCTTTTGGTGGTATGTGACTGGTACATCCGGCTGCTCTTTTGTCGCACCTTCCCCTGCCTGTTGATCAGCTTTCTCATTTCCAGGCACTTCACAATGAGACGGTATCCACTGCATTACGACTCTTCGCTGAACGCTGAGTTGTGTCAGCAGTGTTTGCAATTCTGGTAGTTTCCTAGACTGGAGTGCTTCAAGTACTGATTTAGCATCTGTCAGCATTACCACATACTGTGAGCCAAGGTTGATATTTAGCAGTTTTGCTGTAGCTAACTTGATAGCCTGGGTTTCTGCATCGTAGTTATGGCAGTACTCCCCGGTTGGTACGCTGGACTTATCCCTAGTACCATCTGGGAATTCGATGTACACTCCAGCGCCACCATTTCTAACTGCACTTTCTGCGGACCCATCTGTATAGACTCTGACCCATTGTTCTTGTGGGTTAGTTAGTTATTTAGTTAGTTAGTTGGGTTATCCTCATTGCACTCCGGACATGTCCATAGGTGCTCAGATCCTCCCCTCAGTATGAACCCCAACGTCCGATGGCTAATAGTACCAGTTCTATGTTGATTAACAAGTCTTCTGGCGTAGCTGGTGTGCGTCTCGTTTTTTGCTGTGCCGATCTTAATTCCCAAGTCTGCCATTCTGGCGAGTGATGTGGATTCACTGCCACCAAAGTCCTCTATTCTTCTCATTTCTCTGAGGGCATTGATAATATCAGCATGATCCATAGGCTGACTGTCGGTAGTGATAGCGGATCCAGCCAACCTGTCAGCTCTTTCATTTCCATTGACGCCTGCGTGTCCCGGAACAAAAATAAAGGTGACTTCACGAACAGTGGACTTCTGTAATGATTCAAGCCATTGTCTTCGCACTGAACCTGCCTGAACCCTCCGGATCATACTCATTGAATCACTGAGTATACACACGCGGGTGTATTTTTGTGTTTCAAGCCAGGCAAGCGCTTGTGTCACTGCCATCACCTCCATCGTCATGCTGCTGGTTGTCATGGAGAAGGCGCCGTTGGCTTCTTTGCCTGTTCTGCCCGCTGAGCGTGCTGTAAATGCCCATGCGCTTCTTCTTTGGCGTATAAAGGATCCGTCTGTATAGATTATTGCATCTGCTTCGTCTGAATTTTCACCGATGAGAGCGTTGACCTCTGCATTAACAGCAACAGGATTCTCTTCTCTACATCGCCTGTTGAGTGTGACAATACAGGAAAATGTACAAATAAACGCCTGAGGCACAGGTATCCATTCTGCACCAGGTATGATGTCGGTTAGGCTGCATATTTGCCTAATAACATCTTCTGCCCGACCTAGCCACGATTTCCCCCTCTTCAGTCTGTCGCCCTTTTCACTAAAAAGCGCTTGATGCAGTGGGTGTTTCTTATCAGCGCATATTTTGAGATATGCCCGAACCCTCCACATCCTGATCCTTTGGTTCATTGTGGGTATTCTTCATCAATATAACTGAGGGTGGCCATTCTGCGTTGTACACTATCTTGCTCTTTCTTATCAAATATCCCTTTCACATTTGTCTGGATTTGTACCGTTAGTTTACATTTTTCTCTCCATGGGGTTTGTTCCGGAATACTTTTAAGAGGGCAACCAATTTCTGGAAGGTCAGGAGTTTGTCTACATATTCTTTTTGCTTGGTGTATAAAGCTGCTTCTTTTTAACCGCCCCAAGGCTAGGTTCTTAAATCTATTTTCCATCGGGTGATCCTGAGGAACTTTTCAGCTTGTATTTGCAACTTTGTATCTCTGCGCTCTCTCAGTGCCTGTGTTTTCCCAGCTTTCTCCAGGTTTTCAGTTTCGTGGAAAATGATTTTTTACTGAATTGACTGCATAGCCTGGGTGTACCTATTAGAGCCGTAAAACAGGAAACCCAAGCGGAAGCCACCCGTTGTTACATCAACCAGAACAGAATGGGAGTTTTTAGCCTAAAAACACATGGAAAGACTGGACCACTTATGGTCATGTCTGATGTGAAATGAAGATAGTCTCTAAAATGAACAATGAACAACCATCTGTGGGAAGACATGCCCAAGTCATCTGGCAAGTCATTTGATGACGATGATGAAGATACTTTTTCTTCTTCTTCTTCCGTTCGCTTGAAAAAAATTATCTATATGTGCAATGTTGTCTCTAGTAAAAATTTCACTGTCTTTTGTAATTCGCTCAGCGAGTCTTAAAGTTTGACTTGCACCGATGTTTCTCTTGGCCAAAGGTTTTGCATTGATATGTTGTATTTGGACAGTCTTGGAGAACATGATCTGTTGTCTCGGGTGCCAATCCACATGTGCACATGGCTGATTCGCCGATTTTAAATTTTGTGTACATGTGGCTGCGAAGTCGACTGTGTCCTGTTTTAAGGCGTAGAATAACGACTTGCTCTGGTCTTTCCATAAACTGGTAATCGTCTTTACCTGGTTTTGGTGGCTTTCTGATTGATTTAATTATTCTTGTATTTTGCTAATAAGAGACTGGTACAACAGGTGGCTCTTCATCTGCACCTTTCTTAGCTAGTTTTATCAGCGCTTTAATTTCTGGAAACTCCACAGTGAGATAGTATCAATTGCCTTTCCTATAGCCTTTGTGCATGGCATCCTGATTTTTACAGTGCGCCTCCTGGCTGGTTGGCTCCGACTTCAGCTATCTCTCGAGGCAACAATGGAACCATATGCAACATAAAACATTCTAGGAGCCACCGTGGTCTAGTGGCTAGACGCTCGCCTGCAGATAGGAAGGTGATGGGTTCGGGTCCTTACAGGTACAGAGTAATGAAGTGAAGGTGGCCAGTATGATGCTGACCACATCACCCACCAAGTGCCGTTTGGTCTATAAAATATAGGTCTAGCCCTATATACCTAATACACTTGAACGCGTGGAAAAGGAACCTTTACTTTACTATAACACACAGTTTCTGGTCACAGGAAGAAAACTAGCAGTTGACTTACCATAGGTCCATTGACTGTGTGATCAAACTTGTGACAAAACTCTTCCATCGTTCTCAAAGTAACTGATGAGTTGGCTTTGGCTTTTTCCAGTTCCTGGCGGTGACGGATCTTGTCTTTTAGCAGAGAAAAAGCATCAATTAACTTGACTTTTACTGAGACAAAACAAAAAACTGGAGAGAAAAAAAACTACACACAAGGAAGACAGTTGAGTGTATTATGTGTGAATAAATATAATACTGGTGATGTCAGTAAAGAAAGTGGATGTGATAATAAATATAATACTGGTGATGTCAGTAAAGAAAGTGGATGTGATAATAAATATAATAAAGGCAATGCCCATGAAGCTAATAGATATAATGATAAATAAATAAAATACAGATGATGTCAGTGAAGATACTGGATGTGATGATAACTATGATAAAGACGACATCACTGTTGTTCCCAGTGGTGATAGTGGATGTGATGATAAATATGATAAAGACGATATCACTGTTGTTGCCAGTGGTGATAGTGGATGTGATGATAAATATGATAAAGACGATATCACTGTTGTTGCCAGTGGTGATAGTGGATGTGATGATAAATATGATAAAGATGATATCACTGTTGTTGCCAGTGAAAAGTGATAAGTACAATGGTAATGATAGATGTAATGGTGATGATAGTGGATGTGATGATAGATATAATGGTGTGGACAGTGGATGAGATGATAGATACAATGATGATGATAGTGGATGTGAGGATAGATACAATGATGATGATAGTGGATGTGATGATAGATAAAATGATGATGATAGTGGATGTGATGATAGATACAATGGCAATGATAGTGGACTGACAACAGATGTAATGGTGATGACAGTGATAGTGGATGTGATAACAGATGTACTGGTAATGGTAGTAGATGTGATTACAGATGTAATGGTAGTGGATGTGATTACAGATGTAATAAAGACAATGCCAGTGAAGATAGTGGACGAAGTAATGATAAATATGATACTGGGGATGTCGATGAGGACGTAATTATGGCAAGTATCACGGACAGGAGACAAGTACTCACCTAAAAGATTACCATGTGCCAGTCTCAGACTGTCCATGATAACACTTTCCACGGCATGGTTGCTCTGGTAGTGGCCCGAGGGTGGGTTGCGATGGAGAAAGTTCTGCAGCAGCTTGTTAAAATCATTGGGCAGCAAGCTCAGTAACTGTTGGTAGTGGAACCTCGGGTTGTCGAAATTCATCTCCGCAATCACCAGATCTCGCAGCAGTGGGAAGAGTGGGTGAGAGCGGTAAGCCGAGTTGCCCTCATCCATGATGAGGTGCTGAATAAACTTCTGCTGCGATGAGAGGATCTGGGGTCGGCTAGTCTGATTCAGTTTACAAGCTGCACAACCAGGTCCAGCACATGGACCCATGTGAGGTAATGTGTGTGGGTGGAAGGGACCGTCAGATGGGTGGGTGGGTTTACATGTGCTGAAGTCAGGTCCTGCAGATGGACCCATATGATGTTGGGGGTTCTGAGATGTGTGGGTCATTTTACAGGCATTACAAGATAATCCTATGCAGGGCCCATACTCAGGATGTGGGCCCATGTGTGGGTATGAGGGGCCCACATGTGGGTGTGGGGGGCCCATAGGTGAATTTGCATGTATTCCTGAGTTCATCATATTTAAGTCCTGCAAGTGGGGTCCAGATCCCATCGGAGCAGAACAGTTTGGGGCTGGATTAGGCTGCATGTGAGAAATGTTGTGAGGGTTTGACAGCTGCAAGCCCCCTTTGACAGAACTGATGCTGGGATGAACACTCCCCACCTGAACTTGAAGTTCTTCTGGTCCCACCACACCAGTTCTCCAGCCTCGATGGAAGGGGGCAGATTCCTGATGTCCAGGCATCCCTTGACCATGTGTAGGCTGGCTGGCATACACATCTGAATGACCAACTGGACCATTTGCATTGTCAAAAGAGGGCAGACATGCCTGACCTCCATAGGGTCCCCCGAGATGCGTGTTATTCGTGTGACTGGAGGCCGTTGATAAATTCTGATAACCAGGGGTACTGGTGTTAGTGATCTGCATGCTCTTGTGGTGGTTTGTATCAGCTTCTGAGTTCACTCCTTGGGAAGAGAGACAACAGCTGGTAAACTGATGTTGTCTAGGATGCTGCACTGGTTGTAGATGTGAGTTGTGCTGATGAAGTGATAGGGCTGATTCTGCAGATGACATCTGATGTGTTGCGTGCTGAGGATGACACATCTGCTGCTGCTGCTGATGGTGCTGCATAGAAGAATAGGAGCCTTCCCCAAAGTGAGGCAGCTCAGGACCAGAGTGGATAAACTCACCGGTCTGTGAGGATACCAGAGGTGGCGGATAAGATGAGTATCCATGCATGGAGTCCACTCTCATCATGTTCTGGTTGTTATCCACAAAGAAGGCACCATTCCCACTACAGCCCATGTGGGATGACTTGAAAGTCAATTCTGTGACGTCACTGGGGCCCGACCCACACGACACAGCACAACTGGGTCTGCTGGTCACGTCGTAGCCTGGCGACGCGGCCGGCACCATCACTTGGCCTTGACTGTTGGGCACAGTGTAGGGGGCAATACCGGACTTCATGCTGTGATTGAACCGTGGTAAAATTTTCCCCGATGGCATGACCTTGGGCTGGCCATTGCTGTCCGTTTCAAAGCTACAGTCCAGAGCTGCGGAACTTGAATTAAATGCTTGTTTCATGTCCATAGTCATGCTGCCGGGGCTGCCTGGGTAAGCTGGTGGACTTCCATCAGTCATGTCAGCAAAGTGGACAGATTTCTGGCTCGGTCTACATCCTGCCTGACCTGCAGAAATAAACACTTCAAGTCAAGAGTTGTTTAACTGATCATGACAATATTGCTGTTATTTTCTTCATAAAAAGTTTCCTATTTACCACATATATAGATCAATAGACCACTGATGAGAATACCCTGGACAGATGCAAAGAGTAATGAGAATATCTTGAAAGAAACTGACTCATGAAAAGAACTGATTGCCCACATCAGAAAGAAACAATCTACATTCTTTGGTCATGTGATCGAGAAGGAGAAAACTGAAGTACATTGTGACAGCAGGAAAGTTGGAGTGTTGGAGAGGAAAAGGGAGACTGAGAGAAAAGATGAATCCAGCAAAAACTTCAGCATCTATAAAGCACACACCAAAAATTGCACCAAATGCCTCTTTACACCCTGATGCTAAAGAGCAAAACAGAAGTAACCAAAGATAGTCTGCTGCTGTTGCTGGTGTGTGAAAGTGATTGGTAAAATAAAGGTAGTCTAATAGAACAAACTGTTGCAGAGGTGTGAAAGTGACAGGCACACTAAAGGTTGTCCCATAGAACAAACTGTTGCAGGGGGGTGAAAGTGACTGGCAAACTAAAGGTTGTCCCATAAAACAAACTGTTGCAGGGATGTGAAAGTGATTGGCAAACTAAAGGTTGTCCCATAGAACAAACTGTTGCAGGGATGTGAAAGTGATTGGCAAACTAAAGGTTGTCCCATAGAACAAACTGTTGCAGGGGGGTGAAAGTGATTGGCAAACTAAAGGTTGTCCCACAGAACAAACTGTTGCAGAGGTGTGAAAGCGACAGGCACACTAAAGGTTGTCCCATAGAACAAACTGTTGCAGGGGGGTGAAAGTGATTGGCAAACTAAAGGTTGTCCCACAGAACAAACTGTTGCAGGGATGTGAAAGTGATTGGCAAACTAAAGGTTGTCCCACAGAACAAACTGTTGCAGAGGTGTGAAAGCGACAGGCACACTAAAGGTTGTCCCATAGAACAAACTGTTGCAGGGGGGTGAAAGTGATTGGCAAACTAAAGGTTGTCCCACAGAACAAACTGTTGTAGGGATGTGAAAGCGACAGGCACACTAAAGGTTGTCCCATAGAACAAACTGTTGCAGGGGGGTGAAAGTGATTGGCAAACTAAAGGTTGTCCCACAGAACAAACTGTTGCAGGGATGTGAAAGTGATTGGCAAACTAAAGGTTGTCCCACAGAACAAACTGTTGCAGAGGTGTGAAAGCGACAGGCACACTAAAGGTTGTCCCATAGAACAAACTGTTGCAGGGGGGTGAAAGTGATTGGCAAACTAAAGGTTGTCCCACAGAACAAACTGTTGTAGGGATGTGAAAGCGACAGGCACACTAAAGGTTGTCCCATAGAACAAACTGTTGCAGGGATGTGAAAGTGATTGGCAAACTAAAGGTTGTCCCACAGAACAAACTGTTGCAGGGATGTGAAAGTGATTGGCAAACTAAAGGTTGTCCCACAGAACAAACTGTTGCAGAGGTGTGAAAGCGACAGGCACACTAAAGGTTGTCCCATAGAACAAACTGTTGCAGGGGGGTGAAAGTGATTGGCAAACTAAAGGTTGTCCCACAGAACAAACTGTTGTAGGGATGTGAAAGCGACAGGCACACTAAAGGTTGTCCCATAGAACAAACTGTTGCAGGGATGTGAAAGTGATTGGCAAACTAAAGGTTGTCCCACAGAACAAACTGTTGTAGGGATGTGAAAGCGATTGGCAAACTAAAGGTAGTCGCATAGAACAAACTGCGATGTGAAACTGTTAGGCTCTCACACAATCTAAGCCACATTATGTGGGGTGCACAGTTCTTTTCTGCATTATGTCTCCTTCCTAGACTTTTTTTTAGTATAAAAATTTGTCAGGTGCCTAGTTTTATGAAGCTCAGCCAACCCCAGATCTGTACTGGTGGGGAAGAATAATCCTACCTCAACCGAAGACTGAGCCAAATACCACTGTTTCTGCAGGCAAATATACTAGCCACTATGCCGCTGCAACTCATTACATATCACAAATCTTTCTTAATGATTTTTCCTCTGCAAAAAAAGCTGTTTGATCATACTGAAAAACACAAATTATGTTTACAAGGTTGTGATTTGAATGAGAGAGTTGAATGAATGAGGTAAGAGAGCTACAGGAAGATGGTGAGAGAGCTACGGGAAGATGGTGAGAAAGCTAAGGGAAGATGGTGAGAGAGCTACGGGAAGATGGTGAGAGAGCTACAGGAAGATGGTGAGAGAGCTACAGGAAGATGGTGAGAGAGCTACAGGAAGATGGTGAGAGAGCTACCAGGAGATGGTGAGAGAGCTACGGGAAGATGGTGAGAGAGCTACGGGAAGATGGTGAGAGAGCTACCAGGAGATGGTGAGAGAGCTACAGGAAGATGGTGAGAGAGCTACGGGAAGATGGTGAGAGAGCTACAGGAACACGGTGAGAGAGCTACAGGAACATGTGAGATAGCTACAGGAACATGTGAGAGAGCTATGGAAAGAAGGTGAGAGAACTACAGGAACACGGTGGGAGAGCTATGGGAAGAAGGTGATAAAATAGAAAAGCTAAGAGCTATCTTTCTACTTCATTCTATGAGTGCCCATTAATACAAGTCTGTTTTTTATATATATATATATATATATATATATATATATTTAAAAAAAAACACACACACACACACACAGAGAGAGAGAGAGAGAGAGAGAGAGAGAGAGAGAGAGAGAGAGAGAGAGAGAGAGAGAGAGAGAGAGAGAGAGAGAGAGAGAGAGAGAGAGAGAGAGAGAGAGAGAGAGAGAGAGAGAGAGAGAGAGAGAGCTGCATGAACAGGTTTAAAGATAACCCTTCCAGAAACACACATATCTCACCTGGGATCTGCTGCTGCGGTAGGCTACCTTTCTGTGACACCTTCTGGCTGTGGTCAGCTGCCATGATGGTGGAGGTGGCAGACAAGGAAGACATGGACGAGGACGTGAAGGCAGGAGAAGCCGCTGAACTACTGCTGCAGTTGCCTGCAGACTCATTTGAAAAGTAACCTTGGTCAAGTGGGGAGTCTACAGGGGTTCGTATCTGGGGATGATGTGCCGACATGTTGACCATGCCTGGACGGTGATGGTTGATTTGGACATGCTGTGTCTGGTAAGACCCAGGGGGGCATATGCCCTTGTTGAAGAAAGTGCCTGGCATGTTGGGGTTTATCTGGATCTGGGCAGATGCTGCCACCCTGCAAAGAAGACCATATATCAGTTTGATGTGTTTCTACAAAATGTTTATCTTCAATTACAAAAGCCATAAAATCATCAAGTCTTTCTCCTGTCTTGAAATATACAATAAAAGATTATGGTACCGGGGGAGGGGGGGGGAGAGAGAGAGAGAGACAGACAGAAGAGGAAAAGTTTTTTTTTTTTTTTAAATCATACCCAAAGTGTGACAATTACTGACATTAAAACAATGAAAATTAGAAGTGTCAAATGTTATGAATACTCAAAATGATTAGATGGTGCAGAAACTGGACAATGAACAAACAACTAGAAAATCAAATTGTCTCTGGAGATGTGGATATACAGAAGAACAGGTCACACTTCATTGGGACAAAAACATGAGAAGAAAGAAAAGACACATTGCAACCCCCCCCCCCCCCCCCCCCCCCCCCCCCCCCCCCCAGATGAAAAAAAAAAGTTTGTGAAAATCAGATGTTGGGTCGAATGGGGGGGGGGGGGGGGGGGGGCTACTGCTCATTAGCAAGCATGCTACAAAAGGTGTCTAATTTAGAATTTTACTGAAACTGGGCAGAAAGACACCGATATCACAGCCAACCTGTAAACCACAAAACAGCATGCTAACTGCCATTTTAAGGCTGACAACAGAAGAAGAAGACTGACCCACGTCCAGATAAGAAAACCAACAATAAATATTAGATTACCTTTGCTGCTGATGATGTAGATGATTATGCTGGGGGTGCGAACTCAAAACATTTGGTGCTAGCTGTGGCCGATCCACAAGACCATCACCATCTCTAGCCAAGCCAGGCAAAGAGTTGAAGTGATGTGGGAGATGACTCTGGGAGCTGGATTTGCTGAAATCACAAGGCAAAGCTGCGGCAGGCTTGGGGGACATGCCACACAAGCTCTTGCTGCTGCTACCTTGGCATCTAGTGGGCAGGTGCCCATTGGATGAGGCTCCCTCTTGCTCAGCAGAGCTCCCCAACTGACCTCCAGACTGGCTGGACTGCTGAAACTTGTGATGCAATGACAACTCCTGTGATCTTGAATTCCCCTGAGAATGACCAGGATGGTACGATGAGCTTGAACCCTGGCTGCTACTGGAATGGGCGGACTGGACAGGTGAGGGTGTGGGAGCAGCATGGAAATAGGACTGGCCTGGCCGTGCCATCATCCCTGGCTGAGGCATCTTGAACCAGCTGCAGCTGCTAGCTGCAGTACTGCCATACTGTTGATTAACACCTGGCAGTGACTGTGTCTGTCCCTTGTTGGGGCTCACGTCGGCCGAGGCAGACAAATGAACTCGCTTGTGGGCCGGGCTTCGATTCTCAGATTTGACTGTATTGGATCCAGATGAATTGCTAGAGGATGAGTGGTTGACAGACATTGCTAGTGGATGCGGCCAGTCAGAGTCTGTGAAGGCTGGCTTAAAAAGAAAGTTGGGTGTTGTTGCTGTTGTCGTTGCAGGTGGATTGAGGCTGGTCACTGTCTTGTTGTCACTGCCATTGTTAGATCCTCCGCTGGTGCTGCCACATGGTGTAGAGATGCCGGAGGCTGGGGCGCTGCAACAATTTATAAGGGAAATGTGTCAATTACACACTTTTGATCATATATATCAATATCAACATAAACACACTGTGGTGGGGGTGTGTGTGTGTGGAAAGGAACTATGCCCTCCACCCCCTCAACAAGCATGCTGTAAAAGCCGACTAATCAGGGTTGTTTTCTTTGAAGTCAGAGTGCGTCTATCTGAGAGGTGAGGTACCAACAGTCTGCATACAAATATGCCAGATCCATCAAATTGATGTGCACACAAAACCTAAGTTCTGGACCCACCCACCCATAAGCCCGCCCACCCGCACGCACGCACACTCACAAATGGAAAAAATGAAGCAAATCTACTGTAACATTACTTTAAGTTCCAGGTAGTTATCCTTGAGCATCACTCATCAACTTACCACAAAATGATTACCATAAAAATCATGCATTTAATATCCATTCATTCTTAATCATCATCATCATCATTATCAACATCATTACCCTGCCATGCCTTTATACCTCACACAGGGCTCACAGTCTACTCTTTTACTCTGTTCTATTCTGTGTAACTGTTTCAGCATCATGGACGGACGGAACACTGTCCAACACATTTGGCCTCTCTCATTATTGTCTGTTTTAGGGTTTCTTTTCAGTGTCCTCATTTTCTCAATGCATCTGTTTCCTGTTGCCTGTTTGACAATTCTCTGTTAACCTCTCCTCAGGATTAGCAGATTTTGGTATTTAATATTCAAGCTTTTCTTAGCCAGAATGGCTATTACTTCTACTGATTTACGATTATTGCCAGAGATGTTTTGTCTTTTCACTACATATAGTATAACGCAAAGAGTGATTAACAACAACTCTTACATTAACTCTTTGAGTCCCAAAGAACGCATCATTCGTTCATAAGTTCCTACCTTGAAGCCCAATGAATGCATGATGTGCTGATTTTATTACTTTCTTTACTACCCCCTGGGCCTGTGATGATAAACCCCCTGGGACTCAAAGAGTTAAGACAAAATCTAATACAATAATATTACCCTGAACAAGCCAGATGCACACACCACAATAACACCAAATATCGCAAGCAAGTCAACAAACACTAACTATGGTACCTGTGAAAATTAGTTGATGAGATTGCTTCCTGGGTCATATACATGTGAGGGTTTGTATCCTGCTCCATGAGGTACTCGACAAAATCCAACTCCATCCCCTCCTTCATGCCTATATCCTCACAGATCTCGTCCAGCAACTCGTTGGGCAACCGCTGGTCATCCATGGGACCTGGATGAGTTGTATCCGTGGAGGGGGACGGCGGTGAGTTGATTCTGCCTGCATCCACTGTGGAGGAGTAGGTGCCCACACTGCAGGCGCTTGGACTAGAGGTTGAGTCCCTATACTCCATCAGCTGGCGATATTTAAAATATAGATTTCAGGTACCATGTAGCAAATCAGATAACATAAGTCAGAGTGAGAGTTTATATACGACAGGAAGACACATAAGACAGTGAGAGTTTATATACGACAGAAAGACACATAAGACAGTGAGAGTTTATATACGACAGGAAGACACATAAGACAGTGAGAGTTTATATACGACAGAAAGACACAAAAGACAGTGAGAGTTTATATACGACAGAAAGACACATAAGACAGTAAGAGTTTATATACGACAGGAAGACAATGTCACTTTCTTCGCTAGACAGGTTTAGTGTTTATAATTTGCCATGGCAATGGTCACATGGCCTGCTCATTATAATTTTAAAGCACTTTTCTTCTGTCTCTATGTTTGCCCTTAAAAGGGCCTCTGACCGGCTGTGCTGTAGTTTTTAAACAATTAAACAGCCTTACTAGTCTATGGCTGGGCACCAGCAAGGAAATCAAAATTGAAATTTTGTAGCAACATACGGATGTGAGTCGTGGACTGTCTCCCAGTCGTTAAGAAAGAAAAGGGGCTTCTGAGCTAAACTGCTATAGAAAGATTCTCAGAAACCATGGACAAAGAAGAGAAGAAATACTGAAATTTTAAAAGAACTGAACAACAAAGAAGAAGATAAACAGCATCTTGTCCCTGAACCTAAATAAATTTGGTGAAATCAAGCGCCCTGGTAGACTGGGGAAAAATAACAACAGAAGGCATGGTACCAGGAAGGAGAGGCAAGAGCTGACTAACACTAGGATGAGCATACAATGACTCCCTTAATATGAAAGTGTACACAAGGTAGAAGAGCTGGTGAGAGACCTAGTTTATTCAGGCAGACTGTGATGAGAGTAAAGTTCTGCAAAGCTACCCTCCTAGACCAGCTGTCTGCCTGACGAAGCTTCTCTCCTAGACCAGCTGTCTGTCTGTTGGAGTTACCCTCCTAGACCAGCTGTCTGCCTGTCGAAGCTTCTCTTCTAGACCAGCTGTCTGCCTGTCGAAGCTTCTCTCCTAGACCAGCTGTCTGTTGGAGCTACCCTCCTAGACCAGCTGTCTGCCTGTCGAAGCTTCTCTCCTAGACCAGCTATCTGTCTGTCAGAGTTAATCTCCTAGACCAGCTGTCTGCATGTCAGAGCTACCCTCCTAGACCAGATGTCTGTCAGAGCTATCCTCCTAGACCAGCTGTCTGTCAAGCTACCCTCCTAGACCAGCTGTCTGTCTGTCAGAGCTATCCTCCTAGAAAAGCTGTCTGCATGTCAGAGCTACCCTCCTAGACCAGCTGTCTGTCTGTTGGAGCTACCCTCCTAGACCAGCTGTCTGCCTGTCGGAGCTACCCTCCTAGACCAGCTGTCTGTCTGTCAGAGCTACCCTCCTAGACCAGCTGTCTCCATGTCAGAGCTACCCTCCTAGACCAGCTGTCTGTCTGTTGGAGCTACCCTCCTAGACGAGCTGTCTGCCTGTCGAAGCTACCCTCCTAGACCAGCTGTCTGCCTGTCGGAGCTACCCTCCTAGACCAGCTGTCTGTCTGTCAAGCTACCCTCCTAGACCAGCTGTCTGTCTGTCAGAGCTACCCTCTTAGACCAGCTGTCTGTCTGTCGGAGCTACCCTCCTAGACCAGCTGTCTGTCGTAGCTACCTTCCTAGACCAGCTGTCTGTCTGTTGGAGCTACCCTCCTAGACCAGCTGTCTGTCTGTCAGAGCTACCCTCCTAGACCAGCTGTCTCTCTGTCAGAGCTACCTTCCTAAACCAGCTGTCTGTCTGCTGGAGCTACCATCCTAGACCAGCTGTCTGTCGGAGCTACCCTCCTAGACCAGCTGCCAGCTGAGGCAATAATTTCTCAAGTAGCATTTTCCTGTCCTAGGATAATAAACAAAAAAGATAAGCATATGTGCATATTTCTGGATTGTTCCGTAACTAATTTGTTGACAAATTTTTCAAATGAGACAGTGAGGGACATTTTATTTGATTTGCACTGGCACAGGAATGGAGCAAGTATGGGGAAAACCCAATTGCAGTGAAGTTAAAACTTCGACAGAAAAAAGGATAAGTCCCAATACCAAACAAAAATAATCAACATCTGCAGCAGGTCATGCATAATAAGAGTAATCAGTGACAAACAATTTTATACATACACTGCGAAAGCTGGAAGCGACCTCTTGGTCTTTCATGTCCTTGCGGTCAAGAATGGAGGAAACAAATCTCTTGACCGCCGGACATGGCCGGTCATCTAGAGCATCTTCCTCCAGCAACTTAAAGCCACCCATCTCTTGGTTGCCTCTCACCGCCATCTTATATCAACTTGGATCATCACTCAGTGTCTGTCAACAGAGAAGATGATACGTAATGTAGACGCAAGTGCAACAGTATAACAGATATATATATAAATGCGGCAAAATAGAGTGTCACAGAGAAAAGGCTTTTTGTATTCAGACTCTTGTTAAACCCTCATTAAAAAGTAAAGAAAGAAAGAAAGAAAAAAAAAAAAGAAGGGATTTACACAGACAGAAAGAAAGACAGAAAAAGATAGAAGGGGAGGGAGGTGGAGAAAGACACAGAAATAGAGAAAGAGAAAGAGAGAGGGAGAGAGAGAGACAGGGAGAGAAAAAATGTACATAAAATTTCCAACTAATAATCACAATAGTTGGGGTAATATCTACAGTGTAGATACCCATATATACCCATTACCCATATATACCCATATATACCCATATATTGCACACAACATACAGCACATGACATTCAATGTTATTTACCCATTATCTATGTAATACACTTTCCATACTTCCAATATGTGTTCATTTTTGGGCCCTATTGGGGGGGGGGAGGGGGCGGGGGGGGGGCGGGTTGTAATATCTACCTGCTCTCTAACATGCAGGTCAAAAAAAAAAGAAACTATATTTAGGGCTTTTCTCAATTCAAACATTTTGGGCCGTAAGGTGTAGATATTGCAACCTAGCTGCAAGCCACAAAAAACCCTGACAACTGCCCCTTCAACCATCTTCCAAGAAAGTAGAGGGCCGAAACATCTGACGAAGGGAGGTCCCCTTCTGATGTTCAGAGGTCCCTGTGATGTGCTCACTATGGAGTGTTTTTACTACAGTTACTGAATATTAACAGGGTAATCCTGCTCATACCACCCCATTCACTACAATACTGTGTAATACAATTACTAAAACATTCACTTTATAAGTGGCCACCTGAAATCTTGCCCAATTTTACCTCAGGATTCATGTCATCTCCACTTTTCAGACTGCGACCCAACTCTCTCTACACTAGGAATCATGTAATCTCCACTTCAGTCTGTGACCCAACTCTCTCTAGACCAGGAATCATGTAATCTCCACTTCAGTCTGTGACCCAACTCTCTCTAGACCAGGAATCATGTAATCTCCACTTCAGTCTGTGACCCAACTCTCTCTAGACCAGGAATCATGTAATCTCCACTTCAGTCTGCGACCCAACTCTCTCTAGACCAGGAATCATGTAATCTCCACTTCAGTCTGCGACCCAACTCTCTCTAGACCAGGAATCGTGTAATCTCCACTTCAGTCTGTGACCCAACTCTCTCTAGACCAGGAATCATGTAATCTCCACTTCAGTCTGCGACCCAACTCTCTCTAGACCAGGAATCGTGTAATCTCTACTTCAGTCTGTGACCCAACCCTCTCTAGACCTGGAACCATGTAACCTCAGCTTCAACATGCGACCCAACTCTCTCTATACCAGGAATCATGTAATCTCTAATTCTGTCTGTGATTCTAAATCTAGTCCAGAAAACACATAATCTCCACTTCAGCCCACGACCCAAATCTACCCAAGAAATCGTCTAATCTTTAA